CGGGATGGAGGAAGTAAACAGCAGGACAGAAGGTGCTTTACCTGTAAGTTAAAAAAGATATACTCCTATTAACTACTCCCGAAAGAGAGGGAAACTGTTATAAGTGTTGAAAACATGGACTGTAATAACTAATTCTTTGACATTAAGCCATAGAGAGAATATAGTGATGATGGAAATTTTTCATGTACCCCATTAGAAATAAACAGTGTGATATTTAAAGAAACCAGTCCAAGGGTCAACGGGTTTATTGATGGGAAGACAAAACTGGCTTTACAATTACAACTGTTCAACCCAATTTGGTAATGAAAGATGGGAAGTTGCCTCTAGAGATTAAAAAGCAAAGAAAATGGTTTGATGCGAAGAGTATGTTGAAAACAGTTCCAGCAAGAGGAGAGTTGGAAGTTATCCTCATCATTGAAACCTTCTCTACATCACATGATGTGTTGTTTTTTTATTTCACGCAAAGCTACTCGAGGGCCATCTGCGCTAGCCGTTCCTAATTTAGCAGTTATAGACTAGAGCAGTGGTTCCCAACCTTTTCTCCGCCAAGAATTCCTTTTATTATAATTTTTCCACCCACAGCCCCATGTTTTTGAAAGTTTCCGCCTACTCAACAAACTGTTTTTATTAACTGATAATTAACTCGTTCTCCCACTTTTCACTATCAAATAAAGAATATATATAACTGAGTGTGCAATTAAAAAAACATCAGTATTAAAAAACTTACTTGTTTAATGAGATAGTATTACCTACGCGTACCTCCAGGGGTCCAGGGACCCCAGGTTGGGAACCACTGGACTAGAGGGAAGGCAGCTAGACAACACCACCCACCGCCAACTCTTGTGCTACTCTTTTAACAACGAATAGTGGGATTGACTGTTACATTTTAACACCCCTAACCACCAGGCCATGCCAGGCCCACATGATATGTAAGTAATTAAAATTGAGGAAGAGTGCATATTGGGAACCGACTTCATGTGAAAACATGGACGTGAGTTTAGACTAGCTTCATATAGCTTCACATTCTACAACCAAGCAATCCCCATGTACTGTCCGACAATTCTACCAACAAAAGTTGGATTTCAAGTAACAACAAAGAAGAAGAATGAAGATAGCCAACATGGAGTGCAACAGAGGTGGTTCAAGGCGAAAGTCGTCTGTTGCGATCGTATTTAGGAGAACTTAGTGAGAGAGCAGCCAACTGTTTAACTGCAATGAACGTTTCACCCAAAGCAACTCGACCTGTTGGAGAGCTCGAGACCACTTACAGAGAATTATTAGGGATACAGACACCAATGGATTTGCCCGACTATCTATCCAGAGAAAATTGTATCAGTGACAAGACAACAAGCAAAGATAAATAAAATTCCATCTCGTACGTTAGATCGTAGAGAAGAAAACCGTCAAAATAAAATCTGATTGGATAGTTTAGAGACAGTAAATAAGATAATGAAGGTTTTATTTTGTTAATTATAATTATAATTGTGTTTCGTTAAACATAATTAATTAATTATTTTGTAATTATAATGCTTATTTCTGAATTTTAATCTTTGTTAATTGTAAATAATGACTGTATTGCTAATTATGGAATTCTAACTTTGTTGCACTGTTTTATTTATGTATTAAAACTGTTCAAAACATTTCACAATCCAGGGAGGGGGTAGTGTTTTCTTCAATATTATGATTTAGATGTTTTGATTGCTAGATGGTGTTTCATTTCTGATTCCTTTCCTATGCAATCTGTTCACAAACACACAAATGTAAAAGCATTGTTATATGACTAATGCATACTACAATATCTATATCTTACGGTATTCAAGACGGATACTGCTAGTTTCATGCAATGTTTAATTTATAGAACTATAGGTACCGGATCTCTGTTGGGACTCCCACCCTTTCCAGTGGCTCAGCGGCAAGTCTGCAAACTTGTGACGCTAACAATCGCGTTTCAATAGCGTGGCGACCAGACACACAGATACCCCATTGTGTAGCTTTGTGCTTAACAAAAACCAAATCTAACCCTTTTGTAGGGGGGGGGGGAGTATGGAAGATAAAAAAATCAATCGTTATTGGGGAATGGGGCTGGAAAAAGTAAGTTAGCTGACTACATTACCCAGATATATATATATTGTCAACACAATTGAGACAGTCTTAAATTTACTTACAGTGTTTCCACCTTGAAATTAAAAATATTTTCCATCAATTTCCAGATGGGGGCGGAGGAGATCAGGCACTGGTTTTGTATATGCGCACAACCAAGAATTTTTCACGAAAGGGACTTGCTTTCAGTCCATGAAAAGAAAGTTTTGTTTGTAGTTAAGCACAAAGATACACAAAGGGCTATCTGTGCTATGCCCACCACGGGTATCGAAACCCGGTTTTTAGCGTTGTAAGTCCGCAGACATACCGCTGTGCCACTGGTGGGCCCATCAAAAGAAAGACCTTTACGAAAGTATGAATACAATTGTTAAAGAACGTAATACTTATTTTATAGATTTAAATACTTATAGTTTAAAACTATATAATAAGCGATTATTTTATATTTTCTAAAAGTGTTCATAACTTTACCTCAATTTACTTATTATATGAAGTATAGCTTAGATACATAACATATATCATATGGAAAATGTTAAGCATAATAATTTAATAAATAAGAGTTGAGAATAACACTTGTGTTTTATTAAACCAATCCTGAGGATGTAAGATGATGGAAACATATTTTTGTAACATATTTTCTCTCAGAGAACCTTTATATATTTGGTAAGAAAATAAAGGGATTTTTCTTATTTTAAATCATACTTGACCATTATTATAAACAATATATAATGATAATTCATGGAAAATAAATCAAAATTAATTTATCTCTTACAGCAGCGTTTCCCAAAGTATGGAGCGCCTCCCCAGGGGGACACAAATGGAGGGCGAGCGATTAGGGTAGAGTCAATACAGAGAAAATAATATGTAACTGCTACAATATATATAGCATTTAAATGTGTATCCGTATATTACATCTCGTCACTTAACTCACTCTTTCATTTAAAACAACAAAAAAAAAAGAGACGGCGAGCTCAATAAACCATTTTTATTAAGGGAAGGGGGCGTGGATGACAAATATTTGGGAATGGCTGCTCTAAGGTATAGCTATAGCAAAACTAGAAGCCATTACTTACGTCTCTACACGCGTAGGGTAGAATTATGCGGAGAAAAAAAGAGTATTCATAGCTGAAAGATTGAAAGAAAGCTGTAAATTGCCTCCGTGTATAATATAATAGTTACTAAGCAAATAACAAAAAAAAAAGAAGAATACTTCTTACAGTTTCAGGTTAGTTCAGATCAGAGATAACTATTGGGCTATCTGAATATGAATTTTCCTAGTCTATATACACATATTCTACAAATTTAAAAAGTTTATAGCCTCTTAAGCCCTCTCCCCCGTAGCTCGCATGTTTCTATGTAATACTTTATGACTGTTGAGATTTTAGGACCAACATACGTCAGACAATTTTTACTGTGTGTTAGGCCTTGGAGAATTACTTACCTCAGGGTCATAAGCCTCAGCCAGGTTTTTCAGCACTTCAACTTGTTGTTGTTTAGTTGGGAACAATCTCAGTACCTTGTAGCTGTGGGTGAAAGTTTCGATTCCAGGATAATTACAACATAAGTATGAAATCGTTATAACACACATATTCATGTAACAAATAAAAACGTTGTTTGGTTTAATCGATTCCTTTAACATGGATTCCACTTGAGCCAGTAACCTTGTCCGGCAACTATCAAGTCATATTTTCTTATTATACACGTGATATGGATAGAGTTAGTTCAAACTTAAGTTGAATTCTTTTTTCAACAGGGAGTTCTCATAAAGTGGGAGTGAATTTGACTGGTTGATAGTCAGCAAATAATAATATTTAAATATATATCGTTAGGTTTATATAAACTTAGTTTCATATTCTTTCTACCAGAGGTCCGAGCGTGGCCTAGTGGTTAGAGTGTTAGACCGAGGGTCTCTGGTTCGAGATATGTTACCAAACATGCTTTGCAATTTCAGCTGTGGATGTGTTATAAAAGCGACAGATAATCCTGTTATTTGGTCGAGAGTAGCTGTTTCGGGTGGTGGATGCTACTCACTGGTTACCTTCCTTTTGGTATGCAGTTCAAAACCAGGGACCACAGTGACATTTTCAAGTAAAATGATTTCTCAAACGAGGTCCACTATATAACAGAACGTTCGGCAAGATAAGTTGCAAAATAATACTGAGTTCCGTCAAAACTAACTCTTTCTATGCTATGAAATAAATGGACCAGACACACACACACGCACACAAATATTAATTTCATAAACACAATGTCTATGCTTATCGGACAGTCGCTTTTACTGCTGGATCTACTCCTTCAAGACTTATTTCCAAACAGATCCATTCACTTAAGATAATGTTCCAGGCTGTCTGAGCCTCAAGTTACATAGTTGGATTGGGAACGTCAGACTTACCCAATGCAACTACTGCAACCCACGTGACTGGCCATTTCCATTCAAGTATAAGGGAGATTGTAATCTCGTAATATCATCTGACCTACCATTGCAAACACTGTTGTCAAGTCCCCCAGTGACTCAGCGGTATGTCTGTGGATTTATAACGCTAAAAATTGGGTTTCGATACACGTGGTGGGTACAGCACAGATAGCCCATTGTGTAGCTTTGTGCCTAATTACAAACAAAAAACAAACTGTTGTCAAACTTCATGCATAAGGTACAGCTTTAGAGCCATAATTTCCATGGTCAGACCAGGTGTTATATCCAAAGGAACGACAAAGAACAAAGTTGAATAAAAGAAACCGATCTTAGTACTTTCTTGACCATGTAAAAAATGTTCACACCTAGAATAAACGAACCATTTTGAAAAATTCCTATATAAAAATAAAACCGCAGAAGGTTCCTGGTATACCTGCATACCAAACGACAATATCTGACCTGGCCGTATATCCTATGGTGTTCAAAGTTGTCGTTCAGGTGAAAAAAGAAACAAATCTTCCACTAGGACGTACCCTACGAGAGTAATCTTCGCTGGAAATATCAAGTATTATTCTTTAAATGTTCGCCTAATAAGGCGAGTTCAGTTTTATTTGTACGTTGCTTAACCTTTCTATCGAATTCCGGATATTCAACGGATCTTGTCTGGTCATCAGCGAGTAATATCCTAAAACATGCGTAATAGTAATAGGGTTGATCTGAATCTAGTGTAATATTTTTTCTTTTGAAAGTTTTCCTGAAATGAAAGTAATCTCATGTGGAAATATTAAGTAAAATTCTCTAAAGGTCAGTCAATTTATTTTAATTTCCTTTTAACTGGAAGTTCCACTAGATGGAGGCGTTTACTTGGAACTGGTTTAATCCAGTCCTGTTTGTTTGTTTATTGTTACGTACAGAGCTACACTATGGGCTATCTTTGTTCTGCTCACCGCAGATATTGAATCTAAATTTTTAGTATTATAAACCCTCAGACTTATCACTTAATGGGGCTTAATGACATATAAAAATTAAGACGTTAAATTCTCTAAAACTGTTTTTTTAGATGGAAAGTTGACATTAAAGTGGTTTTAAAGTATTATTGAAATATTAATTTTTGTATGTTTTCCACATTCAACACTATTTACGTTGCCCTTGGACAATAACGTAATCTAGCAAACCAGAATGAAGGTGCAATGTTCTGGCAATCCTGAGTACACGTTTAACCGGTTGTAACATTACTTTCAGAAAATTCCAGCCTTTTTCGTTTCTTTTCCTTCACACGAGCTTTTCCGTGAGCAAGACTTTGTATCGTTAAAATATTTTTATATTTTATTTACAAAAAAATAGTTCAGTACCGGAAGCGACACTAACTTTTTAAACACAGGTCTGATACTTGATACTGTAGCCCTCCAGTGGCTCAGCGCTAAGTCTGAAGGCTTATAACGCTAAATTTCGGGCTTCGATACCCGTGGTGGGCACGACACAGATAGCCCATTGTGTAGCTTTGCGCTGAACAACAACCAAACAAACTTGATACTAATAAAAGTTTGGGATGAATCACCTACACAGTAAACGAAAAAATAAAACATTATTTTGTCTAAGCATGAAAGCCTGTGAGGATATACATATATATGACCATTTGATAATGACAACGAAAACAAAACAAAAACCAACATTCAGAGATAGGAATGATGGTAATAATTTTAAAGCAAGTTGAGCTGGTATTATCTTAAAATGCTCTGTTGCTATAATTCACATATAATTAGAGCATTAGCCGTAAGGCAATGAGTATAAACATCTGAGTTTCTTTTAATTCTTTACTAACGAAATTTATGCGCAATCTTTCAGCAATAAACGACGATAATATCGTTCATCAAGTTAATTTTCGTGTACAAACATAGTCTTGAATGTTATATATTTATGCAGTTCTTACTGAGCTAACCGATTTTCAGAAATTCGTTACATTAAGTCGTAAACTTGATTGCACGAGCTACATCATTAACGTGAAGGTTGATGACCTGGCGAGCCACCTAGCGGCTAGGCTGAACCGTGGTGCATTTACATTGGATATTACACGGGTTATTATTCGTTTATTTATCAAGTTAAACTAGTTTTAAAACCTCACAAGACTTACGATATTATTTAAAATTTATTGTTAGCTTATTAGTCAAGTTCAGCTAGTCTTGAAGACACACACAAGACGTGCAGTTATCATACCCGATATTTGTTTTAACAACAAACACAAATTTGTATTCTGTTTCCTATGGATAAATCATGGACGACAATTAAAAACCTTTGAGTATTAAATTTCGTTAAGTTGAAAACCACTTGTTGCTTACAATTTGCAACATCCTATGTAATAGAAACAAACACACACGTATATATGGCACTTATACAAGGTGTTTTATATATACATACATACATACATTTGTGCTGACTACAGCCAGAAAGCACACACACATATATATTTAAAAGTGTGGAATGGACCACCTTGAAAGCTAGTAGGAGTATTCAACATGGCTGTTTCTTGTTTATAAATCCTAATTAAACAACATCAAAACTTGATGACATAAAGTTTAAAGAAGCAAGAGCTTTCGCTCGTATAGTTTTGATTAGAACATCGAGCGAGCAAAGCACTTTTAGGCTTACGATAAGAACGGGTTACAGTTGGTTAACTTGTTTATTGTTACTGTCTCGTATCCTCATGGTTCATGTACACAGAACCACTTTCATCCGTTGTACTGAAAAACAACAACAAAAATAACTCACTATCGTTTGCTATGATAAACTATTAGACAGACTAGCGGGATAAGTAAGATAATTTTGTTATTTTTAAGATTTTTGTTCACGTTATAGCAGGTTTTTGTAAGCCTAGCGGATACTGATGGAGAAACAACAACAAATTATAATGTGGAACACCAGAGAGAAGCATGTTATTACATACCGCCGATTGTTACATAAACCATTTTAGTCTTATTCTCTCTCTCTCTGTCGTAGAAGAAGGTTTAAGTTGTACGTATCGGAGAGACTCGAATCAAAATATAAAATCTCATACACAAAGCGTTCACAGAATATTTACTATGTTCTTATAAGTACAAACATCCAGTAATTAATTCTTCTCACTCATTAACTTAAGATAGATGAAGATTCCCTATGTAGTGCGAAATATATGTTGAATTATACCAGAGTATTTGTAATATGGTTTTCGAAGAAAAAAAAAAAGAGTCCTTTTAATATACAAGAACTTTCTTGGTACGCTCGTCTTAGCTGCAGAGTATATTTTGTTTTCAGGTTAACATATATACATAAATTATTAAATTATAGTTCACTAGATGACCAAAACTACCTTAGCAACAAATAATTTAACACCAATATTATATAATTCTAACATTACTTATCGTGCGTAACTAAAAGGCTTATCCACCGCCGTTATATTGAGTTGTACAATCTTTTAATTATGAAAGAAGTAGGGCTCTATTATTACTTTTCATACTGCTGATTGCAATTCAAATATACATATATTGTAAAAAAAACCTTCTACAGAAATGATTCATGAGTTTCTTACTTGCTATAATCCTTCCTCTCACATTCACTTGCCTCAGAGTCCCGTAGACTATTCGCCAACCAACAAAAGCACATGACCCAGACGTGCAGGTTGTAAGACAGCAGTGTCGAGGTTCTCATCGTGTTATTAGAGTGGGTTTCAAACTGCACTTGAAGTGACTTTATACCCACTATTCGTGCTTTAAGTTCGCCTGAGAAGGTGACGTGCTACGGGGTGTATTAGTTCAATAGCTGGAATCTCACGCAAGTACCTGATTATTACAGCAAAACAAAAAATTAATACACGTCAAATTTATTTATTAAAAAAGCAAGAGAGATAGAAAGAAAAATTATTTGGCTTTTCCCTGACCAAAATATGTTATTTCCTGACCATTTGATATATGCTTGTGTTATATCATTGAATTCTAGTAATATGTGAAAGTACAAAACATCGTTCACGGATAAAGACATGACAGGCTACATGTTAAGAGTCACAGGTTGCATAAATGGCACCTTACAAAGTTTCAGTATTGCCCCCTCCCTTGGTACAGCGGTATGTCTGCGGACTTACAACGCTAAAATTCGGGTTTCGATACCCTTGGTAGGCAGAGCACAGATAGACCATTGTGTAGCTTTGTGCTTAATTACAAACAAACAAACGAAGTTTCAGTATTATTGATACGTCGTCAGAACATACACAACAAAGGCAGTTAATTTCATTTGTTTGTAATAGTGCATACCGACCCAATTTTGTAGCTTTAATTTAAACCATAAAAACGCCATCACAGCACAAACAACACTGTGGATTTCAACATTTGTGATTATTACGTTTCGACTTTTAATACAAGTTTACTGCCGTAAAATGGAATATTCTTTGACAAGTATACGCTCCTCAGATGTCAAGTATCTATTAAAGCAACATTTGCTGATATGGAAAGATCCTCAAAAATGTACAAAGTTTTTCAATTGGTAACCAAGCACTAAAGTAAACTCAGATTTCCAGTATCTTGATATATATGGAAAGATCCTCAAAAATGTACAAAGTTTTTCAATTGGTAACCAAGCACTAAAGTAAACTCAGATTTCCAGTATCTTGATATATATATGAAAAGATCCAAAATGTACAAAGTTTTTCAATTGGTAACCAAGCGCTGAAGTAAACTCAGATTTCCAGTATCTTGATATATATATGAAAAGATCCTCAAAAATGTACAAAGTTTTTCAATTAGTAACCAAGAACTGAAGTAAACTCAGATTTCCAGTATCTATAAAACAATTTAACAAGTTAAAGAAATCATTTGCTCGTCCAGAACACGTTGTATTATTTTCGCACATGTTTTGTAAATGTGCGTATCAAATTCATCTATATCAATGGTACCGAATTATTAATTAACATGACCATATATTTATCAATCGATCGCCTTACTGAAAATATTTTCAGGTTCACGTAAGTTTTATTCGTTCACGAGATTTC